ACACCTGCCGCTTGCTCAGGCCCTTTGAGGAGGCCACGCTATTCGTGAGTCGGCAGGACTATGGGATGAACGACGTCATTCCTCTGTTGCACGTCCTGGAACAAATGCTGTTAACAATGGCTGGTCAGGGTGCGGTAGACGTGGCGCACAGATCTCAACGCCACATGACCCCTGTGGGGGCAGGACAGGAAGAAGAGGAGGAGGTAGAGGAGGACATTTGTGCTCAGGAATTATTGAGTGAAATGGGTGGTTTTTCCACTCAGCGGACAGGAGTGGAGGAGCAGGAGCATCTGGTAGAGGAGGAGGAGGAGGAGACAGAGGACCCAGACGCACCGTGGCAGTATGCTGTGGAGATGGAGGCAGGGAGTCCCTCGCATTCCTTGGCACAAATGGCCCATAGCATGCTCGGTTGCTTGCGTAGCGACAGCCGAATAATAACCATCAGACAGAGGGATGACTTTTGGCTGTCCACCTTGTTGGACCCTCGCTACCGGTCCAAAATGGTGGCCTTTTTCACACCTGCTGAGAGGGAGGCCAAAATTACGTACTATAAAAAACCACCTATGTAGTCAGTTGGTCTCTGCCTTTGTGCGCCATCGTCCATCCTCAGACACTGTGGGCCCTGTGCGCTCGCGTTCCGCTGGCATGGCAGCAGGGGAGGGGGGGTGGGGTGGTAGGAGCAGTGGCAGCTCCACCAGCAGCGGCTGCCTCAGTCTGCAGTCGATGATGAGTAGCTTTCTTCACCAGCGCAGTGAGGAAACTACTAACCAGCCCAGCGCAGCAGCAGCAGCAGCATCAGGTGGACCTGGAGCAGGAGCTCAAACAACAGGCTTGGGCCTACTTGGACAGCACCCTGCCAACCGAGGTAGACAATCCCCTTGACTACTGGGCAACGAAACTTGACCTTTGGCCCCAACTAGCTGAATTTGCCTTGAAAAAGGCTGTCATGCCCGGCCAGTAGCGTGGCATCGGAGCGCGTGTTTAGTGCGGCAGGAGGTATTGTAAACTCCGCGGAGGACACGACTGTCCACCCAAAGTGTGGAGAGACTCACGTTTGTGAAAATGAATCAGGCGTGGATTAGTCTGGATTTCAAACCACCAGTTCCTGACACAACTGACTAAATCCGCCATGAATCATGCCTCAAACATGTGCCACTTTCAGGTCTCCTCACACTGCTGGTGTGTTGAATTTTTTGACATAGGGTGCTGGCAGATTACGGGCCTCCTATAGCTGCTGCCAGCCCCTAATCTGCCATAGGCCCCTATATACCACCTCCTCCTGCTGCTGCTGCCAGGTCCAGAGTCTCTCATGGGTCCCTGTACGGCCTCCCATTGCTGCTGTGTCCATCGCCACACTCTGCTGCCATGTGCCACTTTCAGGTCTCTTCACACTGCTGGTGTGTTAAATTTTTTGACATAGGTGCATTTTGCAGGCAGATTACGGCGGGCCTCACATAGCTGCTGCCAGGCCCTAATCTGCCATGGGCCCCATTGCCACTTTCAGGTCTCTCCTGCTGCTGCCAGGTCCAGAGTCTCTCATGGGTCCCTGTACGGCCTCCCATTGCTGCTGTCTCCATCGCCACACTCTGCTGCCATGTGCCACTTTCAGGTCTCTTCACACTGCTGGTGTGTTAAATTTTTTGACATAGGGTGCTGCAGATTACGGGCCTCCATAGCTGCTGCCAGGCCCCTAATCTGCCATGGGCCCCTAATACCGCCTCATGCTGCTGCCAAGTCCAGAGTCTCTCATGGGTCCCACGGTACCTCCCATTGCTGCTGTCTCCAGGTCCGCCACACTCTGCTGCCATGTGCCACTTTCAGGTCTCTTCACACTGCTGGTGTGTTAAATTTTTTGACATAGGGTGCAGGCAGATTACGGGCCTCACATAGCTGCTGCCAGGCCCCTAATCTGCCATGGGCCCCTATACCGCCTCCTCATGCTGCTGCCAATGCTGCCATCCAGGTCAGAGTCTCTCATGGGTCCCTGTACGGCCTCCCATTGCTGCTGTCTCCATCGCCACACTCTGCTGCCATGTGCCACTTTCAGGTCTCTTCACACTGCTGGTGTGTTAAATTTTTTGACATAGGGTGCAGGCAGATTACGGGCCTCACATAGCTGCTGCCAGGCCCCTAATCTGCCATGGGCCCCTATATACCACCTCCTCCTCATGCTGCTGCCAAGTCCAGAGTCTCTCTCATGGGTCCCTGTACGGCCTCCCATTGCTGCTGTCTCCATCGCCACACTCTGCTGCCATGTGCCACTTTCAGGTCTCTTCACACTGCTGGTGTGTTAAATTTTTTGACATAGGGTGCAGGCAGATTACGGGCCTCACATAGCTGCTGCCAGGCCCCTAATCTGCCATGGGCCCCTATATACCGCCTCCTCATGCTGCTGCCAAGTCCAGAGTCTGTCATGGGTCCCTGTACGGCCTCCCATTGCTGCTGTCTCCATCGCCACACTCTGCTGCCATGTGCCACTTTCAGGTCTCTTCACACTGCTGGTGTGTTAAATTTTTTGACATAGGGTGCAGGCAGATTACGGGCCTCACATAGCTGCTGCCAGGCCCCTAATCTGCCATGGGCCCCTATATACCGCCTCCTCATGCTGCTGCCAAGTCCAGAGTCTGTCATGGGTCCCTGTACGGCCTCCCATTGCTGCTGTCTCCATCGCCACACTCTGCTGCCATGTGCCACTTTCAGGTCTCTTCACACTGCTGTGTGTGTTAAATTTTTTGACATAGGGTGCAGGCAGATTACGGGCCTCACATAGCTGCTGCCAGGCCCCTAATCTGCCATGCCCCTATATACCGCCTCCTCATGCTGCTGCTGCCAAGTCCAGAGTCTGTCATGGTCCCTGTACGGCCTCCCATTGCTGCTGTCTCCATCGCCACACTCTGCTGCCATGTGCCACTTTCAGGTCTCTTCACACTGCTGGTGTGTTAAATTTTTTGACATAGGGTGCAGGCAGATTACGGGCCTCACATAGCTGCTGCCAGGCCCCTAATCTGCCATGGGCCCCCTATATATACCGCCTCCTCATGCTGCTGCCAAGTCCAGAGTCTGTCATGGGTCCCTGTACGGCCTCCCATTGCTGCTGTCTCCATCGCCACACTCTGCTGCCATGTGCCACTTTCAGGTCTCTTCACACTGCTGGTGTGTTAAATTTTTTGACATAGGGGTGCAGGCAGATTACGGGCCTCACATAGCTAGCTGCTGCCAGGCCCCTAATCTGCCATGGGCCCCTATATACCGCCTCCTCATGCTGCTGCCAAGTCCAGAGTCTGTCATGGGTCCCTGTACGGCCTCCCATTGCTGCTGTCTCCATCGCCACACTCTGCTGCCATGTGCCACTTTCAGGTCTCTTCACACTGCTGGTGTGTTAAATTTTTTGACATAGGGTGCAGGCAGATTACGGGCCTCACATAGCTGCTGCCAGGCCCCTAATCTGCCATGGGCCCCTATATACCGCCTCCTCATGCTGCTGCAGCCAAGTCCAGAGTCTGTCATGGTCCCTGTACGGCCTCCCATTGCTGCTGTCTCCATCGCCACACTCTGCTGCCATGTGCCACTTTCAGGTCTCTTCACACTGCTGGTGTGTTAAATTTTTTGACATAGGGTGCAGGCAGATTACGGGCCTCACATAGCTGCTGCCAGGCCCCTAATCTGCCATGGGCCCCTATATACCGCCTCCTCATGCTGCTGCCAAGTCCAGAGTCTGTCATGGTCCCTGTACGGCCTCCCATTGCTGCTGTCTCCATCGCCACACTCTGCTGCCATGTGCCACTTTCAGGTCTCTTCACACTGCTGGTGTGTTAAATTTTTTGACATAGGGTGCAGGCAGATTACGGGCCTCACATAGCTGCTGCCAGGCCCCTAATCTGCCATGGGCCCCTATATATACCGCCTCCTCATGCTGCTGCCAAGTCCAGAGTCTGTCATGGTCCCTGTACGGCCTCCCATTGCTGCTGTCTCCATCGCCACACTCTGCTGCCATGTGCCACTTTCAGGTCTCTTCACACTGCTGGTGTGTTAAATTTTTTGACATAGGGTGCAGGCAGATTACGGGCCTCACATAGCTGCTGCCAGGCCCCTAATCTGCCATGGGCCCCTATATATACCGCCTCCTCCTGCTGCTGCCAAGTCCAGAGTCTCTCATGGGTCCCTGTACGGCCTCCCATTGCTGCTGTCTCCATCGCCACACTCTGCTGCCATGTGCCACTTTCAGGTCTCTTCACACTGCTGGTGTGTTAAATTTTTTGACATAGGGTGCAGGCAGATTACGGGCCTCACATAGCTGCTGCCAGGCCCCTAATCTGCCATGGGCCCCTATATACCGCCTCCTCATGCTGCTGCCAAGTCCAGAGTCTGTCATGGTCCCTGTACGGTCCATTGCTGCTCTCCATCGCCACACTCTGCTGCCATGTGCCACTTTCAGGTCTCTTCACACTGCTGGTGTGTTAAATTTTTTGACATAGGGTGCAGGCAGATTACGGGCCTCACATAGCTGCTGCCAGGCCCCTAATCTGCCATGGGCCCCTATATACCGCCTCCTCATGCTGCTGCCAGTCCAGAGTCTGTCATGGTCCCTGTACGGCCTCCCATTGCTGCTGTCTCCATCGCCACACTCTGCTGCCATGTGCCACTTTCAGGTCTCTTCACACTGCTGGTGTGTTAAATTTTTTGACATAGGGTGCAGGCAGATTACGGGCCTCACATAGCTGCTGCCAGGCCCCTAATCTGCCATGGGCCCCTATATACCGCCTCCTCATGCTGCTGCCAAGTCCAGAGTCTGTCATGGTCCCTGTACGGCCTCCCATTGCTGCTGTCTCCATCGCCACACTCTGCTGCCATGTGCCACTTTCAGGTCTCTTCACACTGCTGGTGTGTTAAATTTTTTGACATAGGGTGCAGGCAGATTACGGGCCTCACATAGCTGCTGCCAGGCCCCTAATCTGCCATGGGCCCCTATATACCGCCTCCTCATGCTGCTGCCAAGTCCAGAGTCTGTCATGGTCCCTGTACGGCCTCCCATTGCTGCTGTCTCCATCGCCACACTCTGCTGCCATGTGCCACTTTCAGGTCTCTTCACACTGCTGGTGTGTTAAATTTTTTGACATAGGGTGCAGGCAGATTACGGGCCTCACATAGCTGCTGCCAGGCCCCTAATCTGCCATGGGCCCCTATATACCACCTCCTCTCTGCTGCTGCCAGGTCCAGAGTCTCTCATGGGTCCCTGTACTGTACGGCCTCCCATTGCTGCTGTCTCCATCGCCACACTCTGCTGCCATGTGCCACTTTCAGGTCTCTTCACACTGCTGGTGTGTTAAATTTTTTGACATAGGGTGCTGCAGATTAACGGGCCTCACATAGCTGCTGCCAGGCCCCTAATGCCATGGGCCCCTATATACCGCCTCCTCCTGCTGCTGCCAAGTCCAGAGTCTCTCATGGGTCCCTGTACGGCCTCCCATTGCTGCTGTCTCCATCGCCACACTCTGCTGCCATGTGCCACTTTCAGGTCAGGTCTCTTCACACACTGCTGGTGTGTGTTAAATTTTTTGACATAGGGTGCAGGCAGATTACGGGCCTCACATAGCTGCTGCCAGGCCCTAATCTGCCATGGGCCCCTATATACCGCCTCCTCATGCTGCTGCCAAGTCCAGAGTCTCTCATGGGTCCCTGTACGGCCTCCCATTGCTGCTGTCTCCATCGCACACACTGCTGCCATGTGCCACTTTCAGGTCTCTCACACACTGCTGGTGTGTTAAATTTTTTGACATAGGGTGCTGGCAGATTACGGGCCTCACATAGCTGCTGCCAGGCCCCTAATCTGCCATGGGCCCCTATATACCGCCTCCTCATGCTGCTGCCAAGTCCAGAGTCTGTCATGGGTCCCTGTACGGCCTCCCATTGCTGCTGTCTCCATCGCACACACTCTGCCATGTGCCACTTTCAGGTCTCCTCACACACTGCTGGTGTGTAGAATTTTTTGACATAGGGTGCTGGCAGATTACGGGCCTCCCATAGCTGCTGCCAGGCCCCTAATCTGCCATGGGCCCCTATATACCGCCTCCTCATGCTGCTGCCAAGTCCAGAGTCTGTCATGGGTCCCTGTACGGCCTCCCATTGCTGCTGTCTCCATCGCCACACTCTGCCATGTGCCACTTTCAGGTCTCCTCACACTGCTGGTGTGTTGAATTTTTTGACATAGGGTGCTGGCAGATTACGGGCCTCCTATAGCTGCTGCCAGGCCCCTAATCTGCCATGGGCCCCTATATACCGCCTCCTCATGCTGCTGCCAAGTTCAGAGTCTGTCATGGGTCCCTGTACGGCCTCCCATTGCTGCTGTCTCCATCGCCACACTCTGCCATGTGCCACTTTCAGGTCTCCTCACACTGCTGGTGTGTTGAATTTTTTGACATAGGGTGCTGGCAGATTACGGGCCTCCTATAGCTGCTGCCAGGCCCCTAATCTGCCATAAGCCCCTATATACCGCCTCCTCATGCTGCTGCCAAGTCCAGAGTCTGTCATGGGTCCCTGTACGGCCTCCCATTGCTGCTGTCTCCATCGCCACACTCTGCCATGTGCCACTTTCAGTCTCCTCACACACTGCTGGTGTGTTGAATTTTTTGACATAGGGTGCTGGCAGATTACGGGCCTCCTATAGCTGCTGCCAGGCCCCTAATCTGCCGTAGGCCCCTATATACCGCCTCCTCATGCTGCTGCCAGGTCCAGAGTCTCTCATGGGTCCCTGTACGGCCTCCCATTGCTGCTGTCTCCATCGCCACACTCTGCCATGTGCCACTTTCAGGTCTCCTCACACTGCTGGTGTGTTCCATTTTTTGTCATAGGGTGCTGGCAGATTATGGGCCTCCCATAACTGCTGCCAGGCCCCTAATCTGCCATGGGCCCCTATACCGACTCCTCATGCTGTGACGTTGCAACAAGGTGGAATTCAACCCTACATATGTTAGACCGCCTTTACGAACAGCAAAAGGCCATCACAGATTTCCTGATGTTAAAAGCAGATAAAGGTACTCCCTGTGTAACTTAGATGTCAGCCATTGGCAGCTCATGCGTGACACCTGCGCTTGCTCAGGCCCTTTGAGGAGGCCACGCTATTCGTGAGTCGGCAGGACTATGGGATGAACGACGTCATTCCTCTGTTGCACGTCCTGGAACAAATGCTGTTAACAATGGCTGGTCAGGGTGCGGTAGACGTGGCGCACAGATCTCAACGCCACATGGCCCCTGTGGGGGCAGGACTGGAAGAAGAGGAGGAGGTAGAGGAGGACATTGGTGCTCAGGAATTATTGAGTGAAATGGGTGGTTTTTCCACTCAGCGGACAGGAGTGGAGGAGCAGGAGCATCTGGTAGAGGAGGAGGAAGAGGAGACAGAGGACCTAGACGCA